GGGGGGGGCCCTCTCCGGCGCCTCTCGACCCTCGAGTGCTGGCGTCGGTTTCCCCGAAAGGGAAAGCAGCTTAAAGGTGCAGCAACTGGCTCGGGTCACAACTAAAAATAAACACAAAATTGACAATTGGAGAAAGAATTTCCCAAGACACGATCCAGCAACCCAGCCACCCAGCTAGGCGCTGCCTCACTTCTTGAACACGACCATTCAGGCTGGGCTTTGCCGGGAACTGCTGGCAGTGAAGAGGGCAAACCAATTTCTAAAGTGAACCCGGGAAAGAGGGTGGGGGGAGGAGAGGGGAAACTGCAGAGAAGGGGCAGTGGCAGTGATAGATTCGGGGCCTCCATTCTCTGCCCCCCTGACCTTGCTTCTCTCCCCTTGTTTGCTTGCCTTAGGCTAGGGATGCCCTCCCTGCAGCTACCCTCCTGGTCACCAACGCCAACATCCTCACGCACCTTGAGTTTCGGGCTCAGGTTCCTGCTCGCAAAGCCTCACCTCAGCACTGGAGCATAAGCAGCTTGGAGCCCTGGCCCAGCCAGGGAGCCCACCTCTGTGAGAGAGCAGTCTGCCAGCTGGCAGAGGTCTGCTTGGAGCATGCAGTTGGTTTGGTGAGAAGGGAAGGAGGTTAAGGTGTGTGTGTGTGTGTGTGTGTGTGTGTGCCCCCAGCGTGTGTGCGTGCGTGTGTGTGTGTGTGTGTTCACCAGCGGATGGAGGGAGGGAGGGAGGGTCCTGGACACACACACACACACACACACACACACACACACACACACACACTACATGCACACACTCTGAAGGAGTGCAGCTAGGCAGGCACAGCACAGTGCCTGATGAATGATCTCAGGGCATTTTTTAAGAGACACGTTGTGAATACTAAATGTACAGCAATGGAGATTCTAAAGAGAGCTCTTGATAACCCAGTGGGCACCAGCCCCTTTAGAGGAGTTTTAAGGGCCAAGAAAAAAAGCTACTCGGTGGGGACCCGGGAAGCTGAACAGTGAAGTCTGAGACAGTGGGTGAGATTGAGGTCAGAGAAGACAGATGCAGTGGAGTTTAAGACCCTCTGGTGATGCCAGATCCACCATGCAAATTCGTAAATCTCCAAGCATTAGAGGCACCTGGAAGAGACAGTTAACATTAGCCCCTCTGGGCCTCAGGAGTTCTAAGGAGAAAAGTGAGTCCTCCATTCCCGTGGTCCTGGATTCTGGAAGGGAGGCTGTTGGCAAACCAGGGCCCATTCCAGTTGGAATCTTTTCCTTCCCTCTAGTTTTACTGAAGCACCTGAAAGAAAAGGTGCTGAGACTGCAAGCAACTGTTAAGAGGATATTCTTGTAGCCCTTATGGGATACCCAGGGCACAGAGAAGAGTTCTGGGCTTGAGGATGGGGAACTGTGGCTCCCTGCAGCTGGGATCAGCAGTAGAGTAGCTGACTGGCAGATTTAGCTATCCTTCTACTGAGCACACGTTTTGCTGTCTTCCTGGCAGTTCCTACCTTGAAAGAAAGGATGGAAATTCCCTGCATCTGGAGGTCTCTGTGTGTGTTGGGGTGGGGGGGCGTGCCTGGACTGGGAAAACAAGCTGATGGATTTATCAAAGACAGATGATGAGAGACAGCGAAAACGTTCAGGGAGAAAAGCACATCACATTCCTGACAGATGCAAGGCAGACTCTCTAACAAGAAGATGCTCTCAGGGACACTACATGCATACACAGGGACACATGCAGAGTCATACATGAAGCACAGGCACACCAAGTAGTGCATTCTCTCTCTCTCTCTCTCTCTCTCTCTCTCTCTCTCTCTCTCTCTCT